TGGAAAATCCTTCCTTTTCTTCATATCTTCTCAAGACACACTTTACGATTTCAATGTACAATTGAGTTCTGCTCTCTGGAAAGGTTTCTTTAAAATCCTCACAAAGAATGCACAGTAGTGCGATGTTAAGAGGATTTGATGTCAGTTGGCGTAAGTCTGATCTTGACCTAATCTCTTTAAGAAGTCTCTCAGCCAAGTGTTCCATGTTTCTAAAGTACTTGTAAATAAAACGTTCGGCGTCTTCTTCTGTGAATCCCACAATCTACCACAGATTGTCACAGTAGGGCCTCATTTTCATCCCAGATTCATGACGAGATGTGAAAACAAAAAGGCATTTGTGGAGTCCTTTACTTTGAGCGAGATCGATAAACATGTCTATTTCACTATGGTCAGCTTCGTCTAAGCCATCAAGAACAAACAAAACCCTGGACTGATTCTTACGAATGAACTTGAAAAGGTTTTTTTTACATTCTTCGTCGATGTCGTCAGGAAGAAGTTGGTCATCAATTGCTTGCCAAAGGTTAGATTTGATATCGTGGCACCTGAGCAGTAAAAGTAGAGCAATCATCGGGAAGGACTTGTCCCAGTGTTATCGTGAAGTTACCCAGTCGTACGCCAGCTTCTGACAATAGGTTGTTTTTCCCATACCTGGATCCCCTTCGATCAAAACTGTCCGGGGTGCAGTCTGGGGCGCAGTCGGGGCCTGAGCCGAGGCGCGAGGCTGGTGTAAAGTCTGGGGCGAAGTCCTGGTCCTAGTCCAAGGCGCACTCTGGGGCCTAAACCGGGACTTTCTGTATTCTTCATGGGTTTTGGTCCAGGGCTCTTTGCATTCTTCATGGGTTTTGAAGATAGCTGTCATGTTTGTGATATCGTCCCTCATTTCTCCTCTAGTCTTATCTTTGCCTACAATTCTGAGCCTGGTGAAAATCTCGTTCAGACTAAAACTGAAATCTTCGCACCAAGGGACTGGCAGGAGTCGTTCTTCACGTATTTTCTACAGTTGACGAATCCTCTCAATCAACTCGCAAGGCTCAGGAATATCTGCGGAAACGAATTAT